CGCACACACACACAGATTCACTGTTATTTAAAAGCAGTTTTCATAGATAAAGCATGGTTTTTCTGTTTAGCTATTTCTTTTCTTTTTTTTTTCTTTTTGAGATGGAGTCTCGCTCTTCACCCAGGCTGGAGTGCAGTGGCACAATCTTGCTCACTGCAACCTCTGCCTCTGCCTCCTGGTTCAAGCAATTCTCCTGCCTCAAGCCTCCTGAGTAGCTGAGACTACAGGCGTGTGCCACCACGCCCGGCTAATTTTTGTATTTTAGTAGAGATGGGGTTTCGCCACTTTGGTCAGGCTGATCTCGAACTCCTGACCTCAGATGCTCCACCTGCCTCGGCCTCCCAAAGTGCTGGGATTACAGGCATGAGCCACTGCTCCTGGCCCTGTTTAGCTGTTTTTTTTTTTTTTTTGAGATGGAGTGTTTCTCTGTCCCAGGCTGGAGTGCAGTGGCACAATCTCGGCTCACTGCAACCTCCGCCTCCTGGGTTTAAGCTATTCTCCTCCCTTAGCCTTCTGAGTAGCTGGGATTACAGGCGTGCACCACCACACTCGGCTAATTTTGTATTTTCAGTAGAGATGGGGTTTCACCATGTTACCCAGGCTGGTCTTGAACTTCTGAGCTCATAATCCGCCCGCCTCGGCCTCCCAAAGTACTGGGATTACAGGCGTGAGCCACCGTGCCTGGCCAGCTATTTCTTAATGGCATTGGATTGTCTTATTTTCTAAATGAAATTGGATTATTTTGCCAGGCATGGTGGCTCACGCCTGTAATCCTAGCACTTTAGGAGGCTGAGGTGGGTCAAGAGATTGAGACCATCCTGGCCGACATGGTGAAACCCTGTCTCTACTAAAAATTCAAAAATTAGCCGGGTGGGGTGGTGTGCACCTGTAGTCCCAACTACTGGGGAGGCTGAGGCAGAAGAATTGCTTGAACCCGGGAAGCAGAGGTTGCAGTGAGCTGAGATCATGCCACTGCACTCCTGCCTGGCGACAGACCAAGATTCCGTCTCAAAAAAAAAAAAAAAAATTGGATTATCTTATGATTTTATGACCATTTTCTTCTCCCTGCCTTCTCTCTTACATCTAAAGAAATATTAAGGACAGTTTCTCTTTAGAGAAGTCTTTCCTTCTCTAAACTAGCATACTGACAAGACATAGTTCAGCCACAAGTTACGGTAGGAGATGCACTTGGGTCATACAGCCTCCCAATGCACAGATGGTGACTTTTCAGTACCATCTGTTCACTGTTTCTGCACAGCCATTTACAATTTCTCCCCCTCTATGAGGGCTGAATAGAAAAAAATAGAAAAGTAGTCAGACCTAGTTTTAGAGTTCCTGGAAATTAGCTATTCTTTCCCCTCACTTTTTCCTACCATCCAATAAAGGTTATGGCTCTTCATTCTAAATATTTCAGTCATTAGTTTACACAGACCCTTATTTGATATTTATTGGTGCTAAGTACTATGTAATTCACAAGTAACAGAAGAACACATTATGCTAGTCTACTGTGTATGCTTGAAAAAATAATCAAATAAAGCAATCTGTTCTTTCCCTTCCTTTAACTTTGTACAAGATACCTAAATAATCTATTCCTTATAATTAAAAGCTGAATCGGCTGGGCGTGGTGGCTCATGCCTGTAATCCCAGCACTTTGGGAGGCCAAGGCGATTGGATCACCTGAGGTCAGGAGTTCGAGACCAGCCTGGCCAAAGTGGCGAAACCCCGTCTCTACTAAAAATACAAAAATTAGCTGGGCATAGTGACGCCTGCCTGTAATTCTAGCTAGACAGAATTGCTCTAACCCAAGGAGGTGGAAGTTTCAGTGAGCCAAGATCATGCCACTGCACTCCAGCCTGGGTGACAGAGTGAGACTTTGTCTAAAAAAAAAAAAAGCTGAATCATTGGCCACTTCTCTTGTTGAAGGCACCTGGTATTTTTTTGATATTAAACAGATGGAAGCATAATAGTTGACTTTTCGCCCTCAACATGTATAGTGAAGAATGCTAAAAGCTGGCAGAAACATTAGTTCCTGACCTTGGCAAATCCTTTCTAAATTTTTCTTTGTGAGCTTTTTGTCCTCTTCATCTCCAGGCAAGACCTTTGCTTGCTGGAGGGGAGAAAGATTCACTGTAGACTGTCTAATTGTCACAACATGATGCACAGATAGCATTCCACTTGTACTACCTCATAGGAGAGTTTTGACTTGTGACTAAATAGAAGACTTAAGAAGAGAAATGACTGAATGGTGTACTTACTTTTGCCCTATGGATTTATTTGTAAAAGATCAGGATCTATTAAAATGTATAAGGTAGGGCCGTATGCGGTGGCACATGCCTGTAATCCCAGCACTTTGGGAGGCTGAGGCAGGTGGATCACCTGAGGTCAAGAGTTTGGGACCAGCCTGGCCAACATGGTGAAACCCTGTCTCTACTAAAAATACAAAAAAATTAGCCGGGCATGGTGGCATGCACCTCTAATCCCAGCTACTGTAATCTCAGCTACTCGGGAGGCTGAGGCAGGAGAATCACTTGAACCTGGGGGGCACGGAGGTTGCATTGAGCCGAGATTGCTCCACTTCACTCCAGCCTGGGCGAAAGAGGGAAACTCTGTCTCAAAAATAAATGATAATGATAAGGTAAAGAGTTTGCTTAAATACTGTCTTAGAATTATTTGCCCATGTTTGTTCTTTTTTTGGTGGATAGTCTGATGTTGACATTGTAGAACTGCGAGGCTTCCCATGTTTCTCTAGTCAGAATGTTTTCCTTTCCCTTAGTCCTCACATGTTATTAAGACTACTTGTGTCATAATCCTGTACGATTATTGATGTGAATGATGTTTTCTTCTAAGCTTCAGAGTAACTTTGCTTCTTAATATTCTTTGTATCCTATTCATATTTTAATATTGTTATCTTCCTTTCTACTTACCAGTTTTCTAATCTTTGCCATCCTTTTTATTTACTTTTCCAAAGCAAGAGCTATCATTTTTGTTGGTTATTGGAGTCAGTATAGGTTATAAGTACTTTTTGGAACTCTTCTAGGTAAGACTCAGTGAAACCTTGGAAAATATCTGATAAAAATTATATGAAAGCTATGGCAGGTGCCGGGGGTATTATATATCCTTCTATAATTTCCACTTTGTTGGTTTTTTTTTCAGGGGGAGGGGGCAGCGGGGGGACATGGTCTCACTCTGTTGCTTAGGCTGGAGTGTAGTGGTGCAATCCTAACTCACTGCAGCCTGGAGCTCCTGGGCTCGAGGGACCTTCCTACTTTAGACTCTCCTTTAGCTAGGACGACAGCATGCATCACCATGCTAATTTTCCAATTTTTTGTAGAGATGGGGGTCTCACAGAAAGACTCCAGGCTGGTCTCAAACTTCTGGCCTCAAATGATCCTCCTGCCTCAGCCTCCCAAAGCACTGACATTACAGATGTGAGCTACTGTGCCCAGCCCTGAACCCCACACTGACTCATACTGTTATCCTTGAGTTAGACTTGATTGCTAAAATTTAAGAAATGAAGTAGTTTCTGTGCTCGTTTTATAAGCTGTATATGCTTTTATCTAAGGGTCTAGTTTCAGTTAGGTTTTGGAGCCTCTACAGTTTACAGTGACCAGTTGTTTGGTTATGCTGTTTATATTGGGGTAATTTCATTCTTTAAAGTAGAATGATCACGGATTGATCTTAGAAAAGGGGTAGTATCCATTTCTCCAGAATTCATACTCAGCTGATTTGGTTTTGTTTAGTCTTTAGCATATAATTATTTTTTGAGTTTCTTGTTTTATTTTATTTTTGAGACAAGATCTCGCTTTGTCACCCAGGCTGGGGTGCAGTGGTGCGATCTTGGCTCACTGCAACCTCTGCCTCCTGGGTTCAAGCAGTTCTCGTGCCTCAGCCTCCCAAGTAGCTGGGATTACAGGTGTGCACCACCATGCCTGGCTCGTTTTTGTATTTTTAGCAGAGACGGGGTTTTGCCATGTTGGCCAGGCTGGTCTTGAACTCCTGGCCTCAGGTGATCCACCCGTTTCGGTGTCCCCAAGTGCTGGGATTAGAGGTGGGAGCCACTGCACCCAGCCCTATATAATTGAATGTTAAAATTTGATGAATTAAGTGTAATAGTCATATAATTCTTACTCTTTTCTTTTACAATTGCTTTTAATAGCATACTACCTTTCTTCACCTCTTCTATCCAGGCTTTCAAGTGTAGCACTCAAAACAGATGGATAGTTTTTCTCTTTAAAGAGAGATCATATATTTGGGGAGAAGTTTCAAGGTACAATTTATAATGATTTAACTAACATTCAACATGTGTGCTTTTTTTTTTTTTTTGCTTTGAGGGTTCGTTTTTGTCTTTAAGCATAGCATAATGTCCTGTTTTATTATGATTTCATCTGAGAAATTCTGCTCAGATGAAATTTCTTACCTTTCCTCTGTGGAGTAGGCCTCCCAAGAGCAATATGCCTGGATTTCAGCCTTTGCTCAACCTTGGCCAAGCATTCTTGTGCAGCAAACAACATGAAGCACCCTGCATGGTACACATTCAGATTCCGAACTTTGTACTAATTTGGGATTGTTTTGAAAAGTCTATTAGAGCAAAAGTAACATATATTTAAGAAAAATTATGTATATCAAAATTCTAAAACTAAAAATATAGCAGAAGAGATAAAGTAGTGTTTCTGTTGCAGGATAGTATGAAAACCTGATGAAAATAGAATTTTTACTGTAAGTATAGTATTTAAAAATTACTGGCTAGTTTATATTTTTATATAATACCTTACATTAAACTTTACTGAATTAATAATATCTAGATAGATAGATAGATAGATAGATAGATAGATATTCTTTATTTTTGGATTGAGAAACAGTAGCTTATTTGCCATAACATTTAGAGCATTCTGATCCTGTAATTAATGTGTTAGTATGTCATACAAATAATTGTCTAATGCCTTTTCTTAACAGTTCTGTACATCTTGTAATTAAGCTTTCGTTTTTTCCTACTTCCTCAGGTACTTTGGTCTAGGAAGCCATATGGTTCGTCTCGAAGTATCGTAAGGAAAATTGGTACTAATTTGTCTCTGATTCAGTGTCCAAGAGTTCAGTTTCAGGTACTATATTTTATGTATTTTAAGTATTTTATTAATATGTACATTAGAAATATAAATAGGCAAGATGGTTTTAAAAGTATTTTGTTTTTGAGACTTTTTACCAATTGATGCCACTATCAGTACAATAAAAGAGGATTAAAAACCACCATTAAGCCTTTCTAATTTTAGTTTCTCTGTGAAGTGATTGAGATCTTTAAGACATTTATCCTTCTTAAGGATGCATATGTGAAGATATAGGAGCATATAATAAGCTAAGCAGTTGTTAATTCCTAGGTGACTTCAAACATAGGCTTTATATTATTTCAGGTGCTTTATGTACCACCATTATTTTTCTTCTGTAATTATACCTTCCTCTTTGGATAGCCACTCAGTTCCCCTGATTTATTTTTAGATCTCTGTGTATGCCATATAAGTTGCTTTCCCTGTCATTGGTTTCACGCTCAGCATTAATTATGGGATCCATTGCCTCAGCAATGACAGTGTCAAGACAAAAAGGTAATTCTGGTTCTCTCAGTGAGGTGATACTCAAACCATGAGTTAGAACTTTTGAAAGTCTTAGTCTTAGAATTTTTGAAGGTCTTAGTACAGTATTCTCTTTTAGCACCAAATCTGGAGCAACTCTGTTCTTTGCTTGGAGATATTGCTATTTTCCTTGATTTGTACTTTTGTTCCTTTCTTTTTTTTTTTTTTTTTTACATGGAATCTCCCCTGTTGCCAGGCTGGAGTGCAGTGGCAAGATCTCAGCTCACTGCAGTCTCTGCCTCCTAGGTTCAAGCACTTCTCCTGCCTTAGCCTTCTGAGTAGCTGGGACTACAGGTGCACACCACCACACCCAGCTGATTTTTGTGTTTTTAGTAGAGACAGGGTTTCACCACGTTGGCCAGGATGGTCTTTATCTCTTGACCTTGTGATCTCCCCATCTTGGCCTTCCAAAGTGCTGGGATTACAGGCGTGAACCACTGTGCCTGGCCTTGTTTCTTATTGTTATTATAGTACTCGACATTTATCACATAACTTTGTTCTTTTTTTTTTTTTTTAGTAATTCTTTACAACCGTAATGTAACAACATTTCAGTTCAACATTGAATAATATAAAATTCAATAGATATCTCTGCCACTTTTAAATAATAGATTAACATGTGGAGATGTGGAGGATGTATTTAACTCATTCAGAAGTTCAGAAGTGCCCACATGTACCCGTTTGATAACATGTCATGTTCTTAAATCACTCCTCCTGATAAATGGAGGTGAAATTTGTTTCTTTTTCTTTTCTTTTTTTTTTTTTTTTGAGAGAGAGTCTTGCCCTGTTGCCTTTTATCCCTTGCGTCTCTTCTCTCCAAATAGGAGTATATAATTATAGACAAAAAGCAAGTAAGTAATATAATCCTTGCATTCTGTATAACGTATTATCGTGGTGCATGCACTAAGTCCGTAACAGATAATTCCTAACCATCTAATAGAAAGACCATCCTAAGTTTAGTCTCTAGTTTAGATTAAGCTTTTTATAACTGCAGCTCACGCTAAAGATGTTCTAAATAGTGCTCAATAAATATGCATTCTCGCCAGAGCTTACTTGCATTGGATATATATCAGGATCTCTCCCAAGTGCTATCTAAAACTCACTAAGGAAATGCTGGCTGCTACTTAAATAGTCTATACGTCTCCACAATCTCTTTCGTCATCCACAATCTATATACTAAATTAAGCCCTATCATTTGCCACATGTACATTACTAGTGACCATCTTCTCCTTGACTGCAAAATGTATACTATGCAGGTTAATCCTATGTCGCAGGCGAGGGCCGCCGAGAATTGCCTGTGATCTAGAAGCTTGATATATTACTGAGTCTAAAATTCAAAAGGTGAAACGGTATATACAAGGCTGACGAGGAGTTTGCGCTGTTAGCCAGAACTGACACGCAAATAACTACAGGAAAGGTATAAGAAAGTGAACGCTCAACAAGCAGTAGAGGAAAGCAAAGAAAAAGTGCCAGTCTTGGCATATCAGAATTTGCGGTTTCTCCAAATAGGAACAAAGTGTAACTCCAGCCGAGACCATTTGGGACAGACTCACCGGGTTTTGGCTCTTATACCCTATCATACTTCACTTTCTGTTAATAGTATCTCCCGATGTTACATGTCCTGTTCTCCAAGTTATGAAAATCGCAACTCATAACTTGATATATATGATTCGGTACCGAGGATTAAGAATGATGTCGCACAAGAACAAGTTGCGGCCATGTGGCCCCACACGCTAATAGAACTTGCGCCAGTATCTGCTATGGACCAGTACTACATATACACTTACAACTCAGACTTTTCATATAGATAAATTTATTTTAACACACAAGCTGGAGCTCATCGTCCGAGATACGCTAAAGGAATATATGTCCCACGTCTATTAAGTACCGCTCAAAATCTGGACTAATAATCAATAAAGAGGAAATTCAAAGATATGAAGAAAGAATATACAAAATACAAATTAACATATTTATTTAATACTTAACTGTAAGCAAACCTAATACGCTCCACTACTACTATCTCACTTTTGAAGAACTATACAATCTTTTATCTTCATCTAAAGCAACCGAAGAACAATAGGATTCCGCACTTATATTCAGAAGTAGAAATAAGATAAGCAGTAATGTACGCGGTACCACATGTTTATTAAAGTATTGGGAAGGAACAGCAACAATAAATAAACTTTTTATTTTCTTTTAATTGAGACGCGAGCTTTACAACATTCTTACTGTCCTCCAGCGGCCGTACGAGGGCATAGACCTGGTGTGTCTCTAGCTCACCGTCACTTCCACAAAGTCCCCGGATTCAATACGTTGAATATACTCCAGATTATACAACTGCTTCTACCCAGCTTCATGAGTAGAGGAAAAGGTACCTGGAGATATAAACAAGAGATATAGCGCACACCAACAAAACGCCCCAGCTAATTTTGTATTAAAAAATTCATCAGTAAGATAAAAAAAAAACGAAAAAGAGTTATACAAATCCCAACTTGGCCGAGGCTGGTCTCTTAAATACTAAGCCCGACTCCAAACCAGATGACAATGGGGACTAATTGAATTAGGTTTTGTTGTTGGTTAGCAGAATGAAACTATTTAAGCACATAAAAAATAATAATCAATCGATTTACACAAAAATAAAGATAATACATCATATAAAACACAACAAATCACATAGAGTTTTCAAACAACAGCACTCAGTGTCACCAAAATGGAAATTCATCAACTCAATAAACAACTCACAATTAGATCGAGATGGATGATCCACCCACTTCGTCTCAGGCCATCTGCAAAGTGCTTGGGATTATTAATTTGGAACCACTGTGCCGCTCGTGCCACTCAAGAAGCATGTATTAATATCTTATTAACCTGATTCTGTTCGACTTAAATAAAAATAAAGCTGCAGTATCTGGGCCCGGGCACCAGGTGGCTCATGGCCTGTAATCTTCTCCCGCTTTTGGAGGACGCTTGCGATTCACGTCAGACGATTCAGCTGTGGTCGGAGTGTATCGGTCACTAAGGAAAAGGGCCTGGCTTAACATGGAACAGCCGCATCTTCTACGCTAAAAACGCCAAAAATTAGCTGGGCTAGGTGGCGCAACTGCCTGTATCCCCGGCTTCTTGGGAAGGGTAAAGGCAGGAGAAAACTGCTTGAACGCGGGAGGGGGCGGGAGGTTTGGCAGTGAGCCGAGATCACGCGGCCATTGCCGCTCCCGCCTGGGCAGACAAGAGCGAAACTCTGTCTCAAAAAAAAAAAAAGATTCGTATAGCCGTGGCAATAAAAATCCAGCTATAACAAATGGCTTCCGTCTCTACTACATTCTCAAGTAGGTCATCATGTTTTACTTTTACGCTTAGCTCTTCTCCTTATAGTTAACCCTTTCTTTCTCAATGCAGTTCAATGGTTAAATTAAGAATCCTCTTTTTGGCTGTATATCGCTTTAAAAGGATGATAAATCAGAAGAGATTCTATTTACACTCATTTGAACCGGCACTCTTGAAAAGAAAGGGTTAACATAAGGAGAAGAGTAAGGGGTAAAAGAAACATTGAGACGCTACTTGGAGAGAATGTAGGTAGGGACGGAAGCCATTTGTTTATAGGTGAGATTTTTTATTTCCAGGTATTACTGAATCTTTTTTTTTTTTTTGAGACAGGTTTCGCTCTTGTTGCCCAGTGGAGGGGCAATGGCGTGGATCTCGGCCTCAACTGCAACCTGCCGCCTCCCGGTTCAAGGCAGTTTCTCCGCTGCTTACCCTTCCAGAAAGCCGGGATTAACGGCTGCGCCACCATGCCCAGCTAATTTTGTAGTTTGTTAGGTAGAGATGGGGTTCATCCAGTTAGCCAGGTCTGGTCTCGAACTCCGCCGACCACAGGTGATCGGTCTGTCTCGGCCTCCAAAATGCTGGGATTCAGGTCGTGAGCCACCGTGCCGCGGCCATACTGGGAGTCTTTTTAAATTCAACCATCACGTGTTAAAGTATTCTGTCTGGGTGGCGGGGCCCACAGTGGGGCTGACAACTTAAA